TTCCTTCAGTTCTGGCTTCCTGGAGTTGTACTGCTAGAGATTTCCTATTGGTGAAGGACCTGAGTGTGGGCTGTGGCTGCCCCATTCTTGTCTTTTGTTACTGGGGGCACGGAGGAATTTCTGGTGCTGTTGTGGCCTGATCAGACACTGCTATTCAAAAGAGCTATGCGGTGAGGGGAGGCACGTGCATGGCAGGAACGGGAACTGGACGACACATCCTTAAGAGCCATAGTTACTGGAAAGGAAGTGACCATTTGATTTTCAGTATGTGGTTTCTTATTAGTAAGAGTTAGTTATGTTGCAGACCACAATTTTAAATGCCTTTTGTAAAACTAGCTGTTCTCAGTCTTTTCAGTAGTTCCCTTGCATGGTATTCAGTGAAGTTAATGCATGCCTTAAGATGTGCTTTTTCATGTGTGACTTGCATTTGTCATCTTCACTGATGGGAACTCTGTTACTGAAAATGTTTAATATTAATTTGCTAAGAATCACCTTTGTTTTGAACCTCAAGTTTTGTTAATTAAAATATCAAATTGTACTTTGCCATCTGAGGCTGATTTACAACGTGTTAGTTGGCAGTAAGGCTTAATATTAAAGCAGATGGATTTCAAAGCTAAATTATAGCTATGCATGTTATGCCATACTGAATAATTACAGTACCCTCAATTGACTGTCTTGTGAGTGTAGGAAGGAAACTTAATTAGGATAAGGCTTTTGATATATTGGAATTGGTCTCTAGAAAAAGGTTGAAGGAGACATTCTTTGTAAGCCCTATTTTTTCACTCCTTTCAAATGTTTGTTTTTTTAAAGTGAAAGAGTGAGTGGTTAAAACCCCCCCCAAACAATTCCTTGTTTTTCATTGAAATGTAACATGTTTCATTGGCAGTGGCAGCAATCCCTTATGGTCAAGGTTGATCGCTCCCACGAGTGAAGCAAAGGGTTGTAAATGAGTCCATTGATGGCTACGAAGGTTGATCCTAGAGCTGTGGGCCCTCTGACAAATGCCACAGGTGGTGGTTAAAGGGAGGGCTGGACCACAGATTACTCTCTCTTGTTTTCTTTCCTTCCTTCCTTCCTTCCTTCCGTTTCTATCGTTTTTCTGCCTCCAGGGCGAGATGGTTTTCCTCAAAGTAAGATGTGCCTTCTCTCACAAGGTGTCACCATGTAGCCCTGTCTTAGGCTAGTTTTTCCCAATTTGTGGTGTCAGTGCCACACTTAATGTTCGCATTTAGGGTGTCCTTGAAACATTTCCCATGGCATCTGCATGTCCTTTTGTCCTTGACTGAGTAGGGAGTATAGCAGTTGCTTTGGTAAATGTACGTCAGATGTGCACACAACGCCCCCTCCACCACAGCTGATGTTGAATAATCAGCGTTTCCACACTGGTGGTATTGGTAAGGACATTGGTATTTGTGTGATGAATGATCCTCCCACTTTATGCCAAGGATCTTTCGGAGATAGCACTGGCAATGGTGTTCCCGGCTTTTTAGGTGGTCCCTAGGTCACCCAAGCTTCACAGCTGCAGAGAAGAGTTGGGATTACCACAGCCTTATATAGTAGGAGCTTTGTTCAAGCTGGGAGCTAAAATAAAATTTTTAGAAAGTAAGCTAAGCCACTCAGGTTAGGGAACTGTGAATTTACATAGATGTTGCTAAAATCAACAACCTTGCTTTTAAATATTTACACTTGTATTGGATGTGTTATCCTATGACAACTACTGTACAATATATCTAACGGTATGATTTACCTGGCCTTTGTCCTGGAAAGCTGGTGACCCAAGTTTACACCTGACCTAACAAAAGAAGTAACTTTGGGAAGAGGATAGGTTGGGTTGCAGCAAAACAGATAACTCTTAATTGGCATTTGTATACCTTGATAGTTCTGTTAATTAAATGTTTTAAATTTAATTGGTTGGCACTACATATTGGTATCATAGAAGAAGCAAGTCTTTAGAGGGACTTCAGTCAAAGAGTGTAGTGAGCTGATGCATCTGACAGCACTTGGTTTAGCATTGTTGCTATTACTAGCACGTACATTCATGAGATTTTTAGTGTCATAATGCATCTAATCAAAACTCATTTGAGGCTTTGTTAGGGAAGGGGCAGGAGAATGTCCATGGCAGATGCAGACCTAGGTAAGATGCACGAATAGGAACCTTAAATGGTTTAGACCTTGGATGCTGCATCTTAGGGTGAGCATGCTGCTTTTTATATTGTAATTGCATAAGTACCTTAGCTATTTTTTCTTAAATTTAGCAACCTGATGCTTCATAGGTGATCTTGATAAGTTTGGTTTTGGGACTTTTTAAAGCTTAATTTTTTGTTGCTTCATTCTGACTTCCATCTCAGATGTATACTATATAAAGTTTCCTGCTTTTCAAAATAACTGCTAGCAAAGAAATTGTGTTTCAAAGGAAAGAAAGACTTAAGACCTTTCTTCATATAGTTCTAATCAACGTATTTCCTTCATCTTTGTATCTGTTCAGCTTTTGGCATAGCTCACTGGGTGCAGACTGGGCTGACTTGGGATCCAGCTACTGTTGACAGTAGTAAAGAATCTGCCACATAATGAAGATGTAACTTTATTCTAATAAATGGTATCCCTCTGAATGTTACTTGTCTCCCATTGCTTTAGAGATGCTGCCAGGTCCTTCTTTGGCTTATTCTGCCTGTCCTTCTACAGTTTTAATGATATTTTATCTTCTTTGGTGCATTTTTCATTTAGAGTCTCTGGAGAATCTGGATGTTCAAGTGTTTCTTAAATTCCAAATGCACAAACATTTTCTGTCATCTAAAGGCATCCTCCTTATATCTTAAATGTTGCTTGTGGTCTGGTACAAAAGCATGTTCACTCTTATGCAGCATCACAAAATCATCTTTGTTGCCTTCAGATTGATGGTGTACATGCAGTGTTGAGTAATAAGCAACAAAAGTAGTATTTTCGGAGTGATGGGTTGCTGTCTTGTATTTGTCCAGAGGAGCAGAATTCATCAGAATCAGTTGATTGCATCCAACAAGAAGCTTACTTCTGGACCAGTTAATTTGGAGATCATGTTTTCTATGGAAATCCTTTTCATTCATTATTAATTTAAACATATTGAGGTCCATGTAAATACACACATGGCTGTTAATGGGCTCCAAAGCCACGTAGGTGCTCGGAAGTGGGGAAAAGGTGTGATGATCATGTTGAACTGGTACTCTACTTCAGAAAGCAGTCTTTCTGGAATGAAATGTTCATTTATCCCCAGAGATAAACAGTGCAGCAGCTTTACTCCCAGGTCTATAGACTACTGAGCCAATGTAAGCTTTCCAGCTTTTTCTGTAAAGCCTTATTGCAATTTGGAATCTGAGGAGCTCCTGTTTTACCTGTATTGGGCTTTGTAGAGGGACAGATCTCTGCATTTTCTCTACCTCTGAGTTATGAGCATTTAAGGGGCATTAAATCTGGCATCATGACAGCTGACAATGGACAAGAATCAGTCACTTCCTTTGAACTTGGAAAGAAGAATTGAATTAAAAAAGGGGGAAACTGCAGTATTCCTGAAACCTTGTGCTCTTCAAAATACAGCTATTAGAATCTTCTGCAGCCTGCCCTGTGCTTGACTTCAGCTAAAGCATGTAAGGAAACAGTATTTATCTGCACACATGGATTGTACTCCTGATTCATCCTTTAACTAAGGCCAGATGCTTTCCCTCTCTTCCCTAGAATGGGAAAGATACCAAACAGCAAATTATACACCAGCTAATTTGGAGAGCCTTTGAAAAAATAGCTGTATATGTGCTAAGTGCTTTGGGAAGCAGTGTATGAAAAATCAGGGGAGTCTGCAAGGATCATTCTTTCAAAACTTCAGTACAAATCTGTGGTTAAGAATTCAGTCAGGAATTATCATTGGTCCCTTTTATGTTAACTAAGCCTTATTGTGAAAAGGTCTAATTTCTAAACTTTGTGACAAAAACGTCCCTTCTATGTTTTATTCCAAACAGTGGGTCACTCTTACTAAAAACTGCACATTTCAGGTTCCAGTATTTTAGGACATTGGCTGATGGCTATGGGGGGACATGAAAAGTGTGTAAAAAATACTAAATGGTGAAGAACGTCAAGAGGGATTTATTATTTACTCTCTCTCGCAACACAAGAACTAGGGGTCACAAAATGAAGCTAGTTGTCAGAAAGTTTAAAACTAACAAAAGGTTGTCCTTTTTCACCTAGCGTAGGATCCAAATGTGGAACTCATTGCCACCAGATGAGGTGGAAGCTGGCAGTTTAGCTGGATTCAAAAAGGGTTGGACACATTGTTGGAGGAAAGGGGCATTGTTAGCTATTGAGCAGGTGAGTGAGGGGCACGGCTTCTGAATCAGAATTTTAAACAGTAAAGGCTGCGAGGGAGAGGGGAACGGTGGAAGAAAAATCCCTGCTCAGACCCAGCTCCTTTTCAGCATCCAGTCGCCCTCTGCCTCTGCATTGTACAGGATACTGGGCAAGACATACTTATGATCTGACCTGTAAATGGCAGCTCTTACGTTCTTGAATCAAGTGAAAAGTAAGTGGGAAAACATTAAAAATAAACCTGTCAGATTTTCTGCATTTGGGCAGAGTCAACAGTTTGGCCTTTTCTGGTTTGCTGAACTTGGTCTTCCTCGGTTTTGTGCCTGCCTCTGCTGTTCTTTGCACAGAGTGGTTCTTCGTGAGGATTAAGCCTCTCTGGAGGGGGGGCACCTTTAAAAGAGACTCCTAGGGACGGGCTCAGTTGCTGAGACTCTTAACAGAATCCGTCCATCTTAGGGACAGCTCGTGTTCCTGGCACTGGCCCCTGTTGCTCAGCATCCCCATGCCAGAGCCTTTTCCCCATGGGGGTACTGCTGGGGCTCAGACTTCTGGCTGCAGCTCTCCCAGGGGCCCTGGATGGCTCAGATCTGACCCGAGGCTAGTGGCAGCCTCCCCCTGCCCCAGTCACTGGCCTGGCTCAGCCCCCAGCTGCTACCCCGCGCCCCGGCTCTTACCGTGGGGCACATCCACACGGTGCCCCCTACCCACGCTCTGCCAGTAGTGGAGCAGCCGGTCCTGCTCCATGTCATCCTCGGGGCCATCGGCAGTGCTGGAGCTGTCACCCTCCTCATCCAGCCTCTCCAGGTCTTCCAGTGTGAGCAGTGCCGGGGGCCCCAGCTCACTCACCACACCACTCAGCTGACAGCCGCCTGCCTCCTCCCCCTGCTGCTGCTGCATCCTGGCTGCCTTGTGCTGTGCTTCTGCTGCTGTTTTATGGAGCCCCTGCCTTGCCCTTGCTTAGATGCATCCTGGGCTTATTCCAAAGGGCTTCCCCGCCTCCGACGGGGCGGAGTTGAACTGGAGGGTTAGAGATGGGGCCTGGCATGCTGGGAGTGACCCTGAGGTGCTGGATGAACTGGGGGATGCCACCTTCCCCCAATCTCCTAGGTGCCCAGCTCCTGCCCTCTTCCCCTGCTTGCAGCTGCCCTGGCCAGGAGGCTGCTGCCTTTCCACAAGTGTCCTGGCAAGCTGGAGTGTCCAGGCTGCTGATCCCTGCTCTGCCCTGCCCAGCCCCTGTCTCCAGGAAGGCTGGGAAGGAACTGCTGGTGATTCAGGGTGAGGACAACACAAAGGCTGGGTGTTAACAAAAGAAAGTTTCAGCCCAGCCTCAAGCCTTGCCAGCTAGCAAAGGTTGTGGGGGTTAATAATAGGCAAGGAGTAGTACTGAAAGGAGAGACATCAGACTGGCAGGCTGTGAGTGGCATTCCTTACAGATTAGTCTTGGCACTGATCTTGTTTAATAGTACTATTAATGCAGAGAGTGGAAGCTTACTGATGAAATGTGCTGGTGACAAAGCTCAGCCTCGGCATGAGCTAGATACAAAACTAGGAAGCATCCTGCACACAGGAGGATCAGGTTGTTATGCAAAAAAGAACTGTATGACTTGACTGAAATAAAGGACTGAAAAATAGGACTAGGATAAAAGTACAAGGTCAGTAGTGCAAGGTGTTAAGTACAAGAGGATTAGTAGCAAGTATTTCTGTGGGAACTTGGGGGTTGATTAGTTGGAAACATGAGGAGGAGGAGAGACATGGTCATTCTAATTGGGAAGTATTTACTGCCTTCATATAACACACTACTAAAACCTCATTTGCAAGCTGCATGCTATTTAAGTCAGCCATTTTGAAACAGAATGATCTTAAATGTGTTGAAAAGGGTAACTAAGGACAATTGGGAAATAGACAGGCTGCCTACCTAATGAGTGTGTGTATATATTTTTAAAGAGGGTACAGTTAATCTTAAGTGATTAGTTTCTCAAACCAGCCAACCATTCCTTGCTCCAAAAGAAATGTTATCTAGACTGACTGCTTTACAGACAAGCTATTAAATGAAAATTTTTTAGATTTACTTCTAATGTTTTAAAAAAAAAAAAAATTTTTTTAACTGCATGGAACTTGGTAGCAAGCAGTTAAATAACCAGTCTTCAGACAAGTTTGTTGTCTCCAGCTGTTACATCCAGAAATAATCCTACAACCTTCACCGTCTTCAGGAGGATTTCCTGATTTAACACTTCGAGGTCTGCCCAACAAAGCCTACAGAGATTTATTCCTCTGATGAAACTCCAACCGAATATATTTGCTCGCATCTCATATATACCTTTTTCCCAAAAATCAGGGGTGCTTATACCTATGCTCCAATGAGTTTGAATTGGAATGCGTTGGAGCAGACCCGATGAATCAGTTCTGCTCCACATTGTAATTTGAGCGCTCTAGCTTTGCTGCAGTGTCATGCATATAAGTCCCTGTGGGTTTAAAACGGCCACTGGGGTGCTTTAATGAAAGCTCCTCGAATGAGCTTTAGTTAAAGTATCCTGCGGCCATTTTTAAACGCACAGGGGCTTAATGCATGTGACACTGCAGTGTTTCAATTAGAGTGGCTCTCCAGGAACTGCTCTAATTAAAACACTCGTCCCCAACCCTGAGCATGTGTATTGGCACCCCAGAAGCTTTCCAAAATTAGGGTGCATGTCTTAAGTGGGGAAGCTGATTTTCTTCTCTGGAATAGAAGTATGGAGATGCTATGCTGTAACGGCTGCTGGTTCTCTCTGGGCCAGCAAACAGTAGGTTTGACCCAGCTCATGCAGTCTCTGTTAATTTGCTATATAACACTTTCAAAACTATATAACATGACAGTTTTTGCCTTAGGCAGCCACCAAAACTGTGGAGACCTCTTTTTTTTCTACATCCAACTTTCTAATCTAATTTCTACCTTCTGCCTTCCAAAAGCAAGGTGGGCTGCTTATTATGGGCATGCGGTATGCAAGACAATACACAGTCTTTCTTTACTCTTTCAAACTGCGCTTCCCATTGGTGATTCCTTGGGACTTGCAGCTGGAGTTGGAAAATCTCTGCAGAGGAGTTTAGGTTACGATTAATATTTCTTTCCCAGCCTTTGGCTCTTATGACCCTACAGGAAGCTTGTAAGTAGAAGAAGGAGCTGCAGTAATACAGACCCTGTGAACTTTCACCATCAGTTCAGCTAACCTGCTGTTAAACATTATGAACATTGTACACAAGATATTGGGCTCTTGTCAAATTAAGGCCAAGACATCTATAAAGAAACTGTGTGACGATGATGTAGAGTGCTATGTTGTTTTTAATACTAGTTGCCAAGTGAGATCGCCATCTGGAAGTCACATGCTTAGAGAAAATCTGATTTACTCCATTAATTTAAAGCTTGTACACAGCAAAGTGTGTGTGTGTGGGGGGGAGCCCTGACTCCCTTGGCAAAGAACAGCAGGATTTAAATGAATTAGTCCATGTCACTTCCCTTATTCCGCTGAAGTGGAACAGAGGTATACATAATGAGTAAGAACAGAACTACATTTCTAAAAAATAGCTTTGCCCAGAAGACCCTTATAAGAAACTTAAACTGGTAATGGGGAACGTTGTAGTTGGATTTAATAGGGTTGCAGGTGGGCATTTGGCAAAACAGCAAATGCCCACATGTAACCCTATTTATTATTCTGAAATGAATCTAATCATCAAATAATTTCTATTGCAAAGAGAATCCTATCTTACAAAACTGTCAGCATAAGAAGGTCAATCACATTCTATTTTTATTTGTTATCTCGGCAGATGGCTGTTCATTAAGCTAATGTACTCATGCACAAACAAATGGTGGTTTTGTAATGGAATAATATTTCTCATCTTTAAAATTTCACATGCTTTTTGTTTTTTCCTGCAGGTATTAGAAACATTTGCTGACCGATTGATTAGAATTAAGGTTTTGGCACAGCGTGCTATTCCCAGCCTTACAAAATACCAGATAATTCTAGCAAGAAACCAATTCAGGAAAAAACTGCCATCACGAAATATGGTAAATTTATTTTTTATTATTATTATGTTGACTGAGTTCGTTGCCCTGTGGTAAATAAAACTCCCAAACCAAAGGTTCTTATTATTTTACAAACAATACCTAGAAATCATCATTGAAATGCAGTTCTAGGATAAATGTGCTAACTTGTTTCTCAACTGTTGCAACTACCACAGGTTTTTGTTTAAGGGGGGGGAGGAAGAGTGAAGAATAGTTTATCTTGTTGACTCTGTATAAAAAATTGAAAAAGATGTAACTGCTCAGTTTATATATAGACCTCAAAATGGAACAAATGCCCCTACTTTCTGTAAATTGTCATGGGGCTTTTAGTGATCATGGTTTCTTTAGCCTTTGTTTAAAGTATTATCCAGGAAGAGGTAAGTTACATTAAGAAGTACAGTCCATTTATGGTTCTACTCAAACTTGTTAGTAATAGCTTGTATCTGAATATTTTGGGGTGTCTTAAAAGGAACAACAAAAGTCAGTTTACAGTAATCAGATAACTTTCTAAAGTTGAGATTTGTAGCTAGGGTAGATGTGAAGGAAATCTTGCATACTGCTAAGTTTACCAAACAGTACAACAAATAAGTCCCAGATGCTGGGCTGTAGATGAGGCAAAATGGTTAACGTTTCCCAAAGGTTAACTAATGCAATATCATGAATTTTGAAAATATTTTTTACTGAATGTTCACAGTTGGATCCTTTACCATAATTCTTCTATGACTCTTAGAGGAAAAGGTTACCTTTATTGATCACTAAAAACTCATTAGTTTCTGAGGTTTCTAATAAACAGATCACCTGTTGAGCATTGTTTGCTTCCACAGTTTCATTTTTAGGAAGTTTAATCTGGTTCTTGGCATGAAAGATTGCAATATGATTCTAGCTGCTCATTGACCCGTTTAATCTGGTGTGTGTTTTATTTCTCAGGGGATACAGCCAGGCACAATTGAAGGAGATTTTGCTCTTTGCATTACTTTGTATCATGGTTATGAGCTATTGCAACAAATGGGCACACGGTCATTATATATGTTTCTCTGTGGAATTATGGATGGATCAAAAGGTGAAGTATCTTCACAGATGTATTTCTCTTTGTTTCCCAGTTTATGTTCCCATTTAACTTAGTGTCTTGTTTGCTACCCAGTTTTAGAACTAACTAGGATGATTTACCGATTATATTTCCAACCAATGTGTTGCATTTTCATTGCTGCTTGTGTTTGGATGAAAATAGCCTGAAAATATCCACTTAGCCTTTCGGAATAATTGGTAGACAAAAAAGTAGTTTAATGAGGAAAGCAAATATGTGCACATATGTATGACTAGGTCAGAGGAAGGTGGGAAAGATGCAGTCCCAAATAAGAAGCAGGAGCAAACTTGAACCAGAATCCTGGTCTCCCCCTCGGAGATGAGTACCCTGTACCCAGCATTGTTTCTGCACCTTATCTCAAGTCTCCCCCTTTCCAGGGGAATGCCCCCATCAGCATCCTGCTCTCTTGTTTTCCAACACTGACCCCATGGACTTCCTGTCTCTGTGCACATGGGCATATCATTAGCTTGGTGCTTATGTCACTCCCCTGGAAGGTGGGATATGTGGGTTTGAACGGCTTGATGTTAAGGAGGGCATTTAACCCAGATCTTGTGCTTCCTGGGTAAATCTTTAAACACTTGGCTACTGCGGAAGAAGTAGGTGGCAGCACGCAGCCCAAAAGAGGTACTACATTTAGTGTAAAGTCTGTAGTTTGCGGTAAGTGTAATGTTTGTCAGCCAATGAGACTGTACTTTTTTTTTTAGAAAAATAACTGAAGTACACATCACAAAGGGGATTGTAAATCAGTTATTTAAATGAAGGCTTTGCACTTGACAATTTAAATCAGCGCACCCTGCTAGTTGGAGAATCCAAATGGGCTTTGGTGTGAGGGAGGCCCTGGGCTACTGGGCTCTGCCAAGATGGCAGCACTTTTGGGTGGCAGTAACAGAACTTAGGGTGCCCAGGGACTTTCCTGGTGAAAACTTAACTTCTAGTGATGTGGGTCAAATTCATGGAAAGAGGCACCTAAATTCAAGATAAGTATTTATGTGGGCCTGGGCCTAAATGACTCACTGGGGTTAAACACTGTGTTTTGTGATGGACCAAGGACCTGAACCCCAAGTCCAAGGCTAGTGTTTTAACTACTCCACCACCCTTTCTTTGCCTGTCTTCTGTTTGGGTCCAGCTGGCATTTTCTGTCAGCTCGTATGCCTCCAAAGTGTTCTTGCGTTGTTAAATCTACCTGAACTTGTGTATGAGGACAGTGACAGTCCATTGCTTGAAATCATTGGTTTCACTCCTAGGATAAAGAGCAGATGACAATTGCTACCTGTGAAAAATCCATCTTTATAATAGCTCTCTGGGGGATCAAACACCCCCTGACCCGATAAGGAAGGGAGGAGGGAATATCCACTATTCTGACATCCCTGTGTTAGATATCAGGGCATTCTTTTATTGTTTGCATCTAAATGTTTTTGTCTGCAGGCAGGCTACTTAACAGTGTAATTGGGGGCAGAGTTTATTTAGGCTATATCTGTGGCCTCCCAAAAATTGGTTAACAAAGGTGTAGTCATCCTTAACTTCAGCAGCTTCTGTATCTGATCATTTAACGTGGAAGGAGAAGGTAATAAGGGAGTTCCTTTCTTCCTCCTCTATGTATGGGGATATTTTGGGATGCTGGGCTGTGACATTTTCCTTATTCTCGAGCCTTTTTTTAAAGTTTGTGGAGCCTCTAGCAAGCAAAAGCTTCACATCAGGTTTCTGGATTTGAAAGCTATTAGTTCATGTGGCAAAGCTTTTTGTGTGATCAGGACCAAAGCCTTGTTTGCCTGTGGAAGGGAAAGAGTCTTTAAATTGTTTTCATGCAGTGGCACAAAGGTCTCAGATTTCAGTCCAATTACATGTGCTATATGATGTTAAATCCTGTCTATGTCCCTTTGCTACCAAGGAGAACGCTCATTTTCTGCAGGTCTGTGTCGTGTTTAGATAAGATTCAGTGTCCTGGACAGATGCCTTTTTCTTGAGCAGGACTTAGAAATTTTATTTAAATGTTCCCTGTGATTCTTTTGGTTCAGGAGATTTGTGTGCAGGCCATTTGGCATGATAACAGTTCGGCTGCTAGTATAAGTAGGCTAAACCTCCTTTTTCAGTATTTTTATGAAACAATACTGAGGATTTTCCTGTTTAGCTACTAGAGTATAGAGCTTTTGTTAAATAGCTTCCCTTGAATGAGCACTGAAAGCATCTTCAGACAATGGATAATTTCTTAAGGCAGACTAGCTGAAGTTAGGACTCCTTTGTTAGTAATATTTTTCAGTTTGTTTAACAAGAGTCAGGTATGTTTAAATTTTGGGGAGCACATTACAACAGAGATTAATATTTGGTAGGCAATCTTATCTTAACCTTAGCTGCATCTGAAACGTGGTTTCATACTTCAGTTAAGGAGCTGTTACTTTCCAAAGAAGTCTGCATGCCAAAAATCACATTTTTTCTATATTCAGTCTCTGGAGTGAATGTATTTGTTTTTTATCTGTTTAAAAAGACAAGGTGCGTACAAGGAATGAACTTAGCCGCAACGAGGACTTTATGAATCTGTATCAGCAACTTGAGAACATGTTTGCAAACACAGCTCTGACTTCAGCAAATGGAAGTCTCTACAATTGCAGAACAGGTCAGCGTTTACCTTTTTAAAATCAGCACATCTGTTTTATTATATCCATTTTTTCCTGAAAGCTATTTTTTCCCATGAAAACTAATACAGTGAAACAATGTACTGTTCAGTTCTGGATGATCCATAGATACTGTAAAATACCAGTACAATTATTTAACGTGCTGTTTTGCTTAGTTTTCCATTTTAGGGTAAAGTTAGGATTTTGTTTGTTCTATTTTAGCAGTTCCATCTGCCTTCATTTCACATTTTTCTGTCTCTGAATCTTTGAATTGGAATTCGAATTTACCGTTTAAAATATTGTCGGCTGGTTTGTTGATTTGACCCCAAAAGAAGTAAAACTTGGCTTTGACAAGCATCTGCATCAGTAATGAATTTGCTTAGGTATAGATGTTACATGGCTATGATGATTGGAATGAGAATGCTGGGAATGACTATATCTCAGACGTGGAGGGGAGAAATGTGAATGGGAGAAGACATAGTACACAGAGCTTTTATCTATAACTGATAACACGAGTAAGAACCTTTTTTTTCTCGTTTAAACACTGCACTTGGTTTGCAGGACCTGAAAATAAAAGAAAATTCATCTATAGTCATCCCAAATTAAAGAAATTAGAAGAAGTTGTTGTAGAACACTTCAAATCCTGGAAGGGGAATTCAGGTAAGTTCTAGAGAGGGTCCAAAATGTGACCTATGTCTGTGAATATAAACCAATGGCATTTTTTTGTTATTAAATCCCTGATGTATTGAAGTTGGGATATTTTGGAAAAATGTATGCCTAAGAAGTAAGTTGCCATCGTTCATGGGAACCTTATTTAGTTAGCTGCCTATGATTCGAATTTGAGTTTAAAATAAAGTGTTATGTTACTCTAACCACTTGTGTCCCAGGATTCAGTGGCCTCAGAATGTGCTGTAGAATCTGTTTCTCACTGCGTGTCTGAGGCCCCTGCTGCACATTACACTTAAGACATGATTAAACAGTTGATCACAGCTTCAGTTGTAACCCTGCTACATGTTCAGTCAGTTAATGGTGTGACAAAGGAGAAATAAGACACAAAGTTATTCCACAAAATATGTGTAATAACTTTGTGGCTCATTTCTATCATTCCTATCATGCCATGTCAGCTGTTCCAGGCTCCCAGTCCAGGTCTCGTGCATCCCTGAGCTTGGAAGGCCACAGCTGATGCGGGCTTCCAGCTGCAGGAGCATGAGTCCCCATGGGTGGGAGTCCTATCTGCTGACTGGGCTCCTAGCTATAGGGGCACTCATCCCTGTGGCTGGAAGCCTGTGTCAGCTGCAGACTCCAAGCTGCAGGGATACCTGGAGCACCCCTGGAGTGGGAACCCATGTCAGTTGATAGGACTCCTACCTGCAGGATTCCGGGAGCACCCCTGTGGCTGGAAACCCATATCAGCTGAGGGCTCCCAGCAGCAGGGATTCATGGTGTGCCCCCACAACTAGGAGCCCCTTCCACTGTGAGGTCTCCCAGCTGCAGGATCTTGCTACTTGCTGGTGCAGGGGAAGCCTGGGGTTGTGATCCCAGGGACCCCCTGTACTAGCAATAAGGCTTGGTGGGATCTGATACACAGTCATGCCTCCTACCATGCAGGTGTAGCACAGCAGGAAGCACGATTGTGTAGATTGTGCATCAGATCCCATACGCCTTTACCTGAGTGTCATTTGATGCTGTGTTTTCTTTAAAACAAAAATCTTGCCGATGATGGTTAGGAAATGTTTTAAAATGTGAATCCTTGCTGTCTTTCTCTATGGCTTGTACGTATTCAGTAACAATGACAATTGCTTTGTGTTGCAGTTGCTTTGTGTTGTAACTAATCTGTACGTATGTCTGTCTTTTCTGTTTCTTTGTCACATTTTAAATTGGTTTATCCAAGTATTTTTTTTAAAGTTAATTTTGTATTTGGATGGGCAAGCTGATTGGTTTTAATTAAGAGCAGGGTTTGTTTCATGGCCAGGGAGAGGGAACTGAGAAAGCTATCTGCCTGGAAATATAAGTTTATAGGTGGAAAGAAATCTTACTCTTCCCTATGGAATTTAAAGATACAACAGATACGATTCACTAAAAAGGTGAAAGTCAGCTAGCATATGCAATGTGTATATTTGTGTGAAGTAAGGCAGGCACTTTTGTTAGAACATTATTGATGCTTAAGAGAAAATAGCACTTAGATAAAGTTAAAGGTTTTGACCACATAAAGTTAATTATAAAAGTGAATGTTTTTAAAAAGTGATTGTTTTTTCTGGTCTTAATTTGAGGATTCCTCAGAATAATCATAGTTTGCAGCATAAAGAAATTATGAAACCAAACGGTCTCTTTCTTTTCAGGACTTTGTACTGATTTTGTAAACATAAGTTAAACATTTGAAAATGAAAATGCAGCTGCTTAGCATTGGAATTGTGAACAAGAGCAATTGGAGGAATTCTGGAATTAAGGATTGCAAACCACCCTCCCAAAAAATCCCCCAAAAACAAACAAACCCCCAAAACGTGGATGGATGGATAGATAGTTTTTGTCTACAAATAGGGAATTCATCAGGGAAGGGAACTGTCTACCATGTCATCTCACACTGAGAGAAAGGACTGTTTCTAGTTCATTTGGGGTTTTTAAACCTGAAAAATGCAGTGCAGATTTATACTACAGAAATATTTACTAAGAAACCTTGTACGCATGTGTGTATACACTCTTGCACCTATCTAAAATCAGGATGAAATTTTTGGGCTAGTAAATTATACTTATGGTGTTTTTACTTTTATAGAACTTTCTAACTTTGTAGCCCTGAATTTGTGACAAAAGAAGAGTTCTTTGTCAGTAAAGCACAAATTCATCCTTTTCCCGTTTTACATAAAAATGCTCTGTGCTCAGCACAGTAATACATAAAATAATATCTGTAGAATTGAAGTAACAGTGGAGTTTTGAGAGAAATTTTACTCTAGCTAACTTATTGCTAATTGTTACTTAATATCTCGGATGACTGCGTACTCTGGCTTTTAATGAGATGTGGTTAAATGAGGGGTAGAGGAATTCTCACTTGTCACTTTTTTCTTAATCTCATGCTCATTTGGGTTCCTGTGCTTGGATTCTTGCTTAGGCACCTAAAACAAATGTGGTGGATGCAATGTGTGTGTTAGAAACCAAAATGCAAAGCATTTGCACGTGATCTTCCTGTCCTTATTGAAGTGGACAGGGATTGTGCATATAAGATGCATGGAATGATTTGTCCCTGCATCTTATTTTTTTAAACATATTGTTTGTGTATAAAGTGCTTTTTAGCTGTGCTTATTTTTGTGTCTAACAGACCAAAGCGTATCTGAAAGCAAACCTACTGATACCAGGGTTATGATCTTCTCCTCGTTTCGAGACAGCGTCCAAGAAATTGCAGAAATGCTTTCCCAGCATCAGCCGGCTATTAGAGTCATGACCTTTCTTGGTCACTCAACAGGAAAGAACACAAAGGGCTTCACACACAAGGAACAACTTGAGGTAAAGAGGTCATTGGGTTTATTTTAGATTTAGAATATAGGGCATATGACATGATAATGTAACATGCACTGTAAAGACTGTGAGTTTCCAAGTTTTATTGTAAACTAGCCAATTGCCCGCCATGAATGACAGAGCGTTTCAGGGAGAACTTACATGCCCCCACCACTCAGTGTTTGGGGCTGGCCATGTAAACCAGGTCCGGGCAATTATTTTGGGCAGAGGGCCACTTGCCCAGTTTTGGCAAGCTGTCGAAGGCTGTATGGGTAGCTCTGCCCCTTGGCAGGTGCCCCACCCCCTGGTCTCCATCTTGTGACTGGAAGTCCCACCCCCTAACCCCTGACCTTTGCCACCAAAAGTCTATCCCTTTGCCCCTGGAAGTACTCCTTTCAGCAAGGGGTTGTGCCCTCCTGGAACCAGGGAAGTATCAAATTATATTTTAAAAAGGAAACATCTATGGCATTAATCTGATTTCAAAAAATATTTTGTCCCAATGTACATGAGTTTGTGCAGTGTACATAGAGGTGATTGCGCAACAGCTTAAAATGAAGTTTTACTCTTGTATATTGTGGGGGGTGGGTATAGGTTTATGGGGGACTGGGGTGAGGGAGCATGGGGGATGTGGGTGGGTATGGGGTTTGTGGGGGGTTGTGTGGGGGGGGGAAGGGGCCTAGATTGTGTGAGGGGGCGTGGATGTGGCGGTCTGCATGTATGGTGGTACGAGGGGAGTGTGGGTGCATGTGTATGGTGAGGGGTGTGTGTGGGACTCATCCTATGAACACGAACACATGAACAAACACCCTCCCTACCAGCGGCTCTGTGCTACCTGCTCCTGCAATGCAGCCAGGTCATGTGGTACAGACAGGGCTGCAGGCAGGGAGTGCAATTGCTGGGGGTGGGGCAGGCTGGGCTGCTCAGTCCCGCTACTGCCCCTGTCTCCTATCAGCTTTGACAGGAGAAGGGCAAGTCAATACAGTTTTAAAGCCTAAGGGCTCCCTCCACCTCCAGCTCCCTGCCTGAGGGGGCGAGGCCCATGCATCCAGTTGCTGCCCGCCCTCTCTGCGGCACGTGCATAGTTGGCCCCCAGGGTTACGGACAGACACACAGAAGTACTATGCCTTTTATTATATTAGAATTATTAGAAATAGGTGGGATAAAGAGCAGTTTTCTGAGGTAATCCTAACGGGGAAAAAACATATGTAGAAAACGTTCCATATTTTAAAAAAACAAACAAAACCAAAACACAAAACCCCACAAAACTCCCGCAAGAACCAAATCGGCCATGAGAGCTGCAATGTACACACCATGGGGGTTTCATTCAGTTTAGTTCTCCCAAAATTGAAACGGTAGGCTTTTAAAAACACCACTTCCATTTAGGGAGAATTAAACCAAACTAAACCCCTGTGGAGTGTACATAAGGTTGGGGGCCCGATCCTTACCTGCCTCTTTGGTGGCAGGGGTGGGAGGAGGCAAGCTGCCAGTGGGCTGAGCAGTACCTGAGCTGTGCGGGGGCCTGTCTGGCAGCACCTGGGTTGGGCAGTGCCGCAGCTGTGGAGGGAAGTACTGCTCCCGCAGCCATGGAGGGAAGCACACTGGGCCCCCATACAACTCAGGCAGGCAGGCTCCAGGGTGGGGAAAAACAAATCGGGCTCCTCGCTTTTTTTTTTTTATTTTATTTCCCCGCTTCAGTGGAGCCTGTCTGCACGGGCTGCCACCAGGTCCCACAGCCCTTGAGCTGCACGGGGCCTGCCAAGTCCTGATTGTATCGGCTTCTAGCACCCCATGCACTGTTGCATTTTGTTAGGTAGCAAACTAAAACCCCTTGGAGGTGTTTTATCTTGCTACGTACCAAAGTACCAAAGCAAAATATGCCACTGAGCGTGCAAACAACAACACTTAAAGCGGAATACACTGCTGAACATGCAAACAGCAATGCCATTAAAGCTATGCAAAAAGGCATTTAAGCCACTTTAAAGACCAATTTTGTGGCATGTACAAAGGCCTATTTAAAAAAATTGAAACATACCTGTGACAAACTGAGCACAGTTCTAATTGCTGTCATGTTTCCCCCCCCTTGAATGAACAAAAGATGTAAGATCCCCATTCTGGTTTATTACAATAACAAAAATACATAATTATGAAACTAAGGGCTTAATTTTGGTAGTGGTAGGGTGAGCTAAAGTTTTCTATGCTTTGTGCTTTATCTTTTGTATTAAAGGGTATAATACTGGTAGCACCTACATATTGCATTTGGTCACCAGTTTAGAATGTAATGCTTGACTATTTCAGAGAGATTGCTTTTTTCTTTAATAGCTTTTAAGCAAGTTGAAACAATTTTATCACCTAACTGGAATACGAAAAGATACGAAGAGTGCACGTAGAACTCTAATGGAGATTGTTAAATATGTTTTAATTTTCATTTAGGTGGTAAGACATTTTCGTGAAGGGGGCTACAATACACTGGTTTCTACGTGTGTAGGAGAAGAAGGTTTAGATATTGGAGAAGTGGATCTTGTAATCTGTTTTGATGCTCAGAATAGTCCAATTCGTCTTGTGCAGCGAATGGGTCGAACTGGGCGCAAGCGGCAAGGTAGAATTGTTGTCATCCTGGCGGAAGGCCGTGAAGAACGAGTAAGTTAAGCAGTCTCTTGTAGTGAATTCTTCTCCAGGGCTTTTCAACCTTGTCAGTCATTCTCACAAAACAGTCAAGTGCAGATTGACTGAAAATTGTGGAAATACCAACCATTCTGGTGAGCAGAATAATTTTAAAATCCTCATTGTGGTGGCTATTTAAATATTATTTAATACTTAAGCTAAACTTCTTAATGTGACACAAGAAGCTGCATATCCACTTCAAGAATTGCTTGAAATATGGAAAAATAATAGTGCATGCTAACCGAAGGAGCAGAGTCCTGTCTTGGCATTGTCCTTCAAAGTCTTTAGAACATGCACATACCAGCAGCTTGTATAGATGGGTCATAAGGTTGCAATTTGTTCATGGTCAACTACTTGAAGTAATTACTTGACTAATGGGTGGCAGAGCTAGGAATAAATTCCTAACCATAGGGGGCCTAGAAACATCCACATGATTTGTTGGCACCTGTGGGTATAGGACAGACGAGGACCTTTGTGCCATGAATGCTTAGTGTGAGTTTTGAAGACAACTGTTCAAGTGGAAATCTGCTGCCATTAAATGCCTCAACCTTTCTGAGATAAGTTTTGCTTCATACTATTTTATTTACTCCAATCCAGGGTGTGATTTATGTCTCTGGTGTTAGATATTCAATAAGGACAAATGCAAAGTCCTGCACTTAGGACAGGACAATCCCATGCACCAGTGCAGGCTGAGGGCCGACTGGCTGGGCAGCAGCTCTGCAGAAAAGGACCTGGGGGGACAGTGGACAACACGACAGATATGAGCCAGCAGTGTGCCCTTGTTGCCAAGAAGGCTAACGGCATACTGGGCTACATTAGTAGGACCGCTGCCAGCAGATTGAGGGAAGTGATTCTTCCCCTTTCTTCAGCACTGGTGAAACCACACCTTGAGTCTTGTGTCCAGGTTTGGGTCCCCCACTACAGAAAGGATGTGGACAAATTGGAGAGTCCAGTGCAGGGCAACAAAAATAGGGGGCTGGGGGACATGACTAAAGAGGAGAGGCTGAGGGAGCTGGGCTTATTTAGTCTGCAGAAGAGAAGACTGAGGGGGGGATTGAATAGCAGCCTTCACCTCCCTGTGGGGGGTGGCAAAGAGGATAGAGCTGGACTGGTCTCAGTGGGGGGCAGATGACAGGACAAGGAGCAATGGTCTCAAGCTGCAGCAGAGGAAGTTTACGTTAGATATTAGGAAGAATATTCTCACCAGGTGGGTAGTAAAACACTGGAACAGGTTACCCAGAGAGGTTATGGACTCTGCATCCTTGGACATGTTTAAAACCCAGGTAGACAAAGCCTTGGCTGGGGTGATCTAGTTGGGGCTGGTCCTGCTTTGAGCTTTGGGGTTGGACTATATGTGACCTCCTCAGAGCCCTTCACCCCCTCATTTTCTGTGATTCTATGATTCTATATTCACATGTTAAAGATACGATTCTCATTTAGGATGATTCTGTGTCATCCTATTAAAAAGGAGCTTCTCATGAGGTATTTGAAAAGAAACACCTTCCTCCTTAGTCGCTATTCTGCTGTCCAACGAAGTGCCCAATTTATACTGGTGTTTTTGAGAAACTTTGTACTGTGGATCAGCTCTGCTAGCCCCAGCTGTAGTTAGCTCTGTGGTAGACAGGACCCTGGGTGGCAGCTGGCACTTGTTATTTCTAGCTTTGTCAGAGCAGGCACATGCCATCTGTTAATTAAAATGATTGGCTGCTAACAAGTTCTGTATGTTTTACACCTTCTCAAGTTACACCAGTATTAGCAAATACAGGTAGCTTTTTTCAGAGAAAAGACTAGTATGGACAGAAATCGTCACGGCCTACTGCTTTTGTGAAAATTAACAAAGCAGCTAGTGATTTTTGGATGCCTCAGTTCCTGAATAACAAACTTAATGGTTTCTTTAGAGTGTCTTATCTGAGCGTGTGCTCCCATGTGGTACAACCAGTAGCAAAATATTTAAGAATTATTTCTTGTATTACTTCTTGTGAATTAATTTAAACCACATAGACTCAAGAATGATTTTATTATAACTGGTTGAGAATTTTTCATTTAACTTCTTCTCCTCCCCTCTCCCTCCCCCTGATGGAAAATAGTTTCTGCAGAACTAGACATTTCCATGTGAAAAATCCACTGCTGAAATCTCTGTTTTGATTTTCAGTGTTGGAAAAATGAAACAAAACATTCCTGTTTCAAGATGTAGTGGCCTGAATGGAAAGGCTCGTCTTGATCCAACCAAATCAAACCTTCAGATTTCACCTTGCCAGTCTGTGCCTTTAATTTGGCACAGGGACTCTGAGTCTGTGTCATGTTGCAGACAGGGCTCCCCGGCTGACCAGTATTTCCCATGACACACCCTGGTTTTCCACCTGGGTGAGCTGCAAGGGTGTGTGATACAAGTCATATGGGAGGTGTAATGTGGAGGGGGAGCCCAGCCCACAGAGGAGAATGGAGGCATAAGGCACCGCGGTAGCTCAGGGCTTCACACTTGAATGTCGAACCAAGTAGAACTCTGTATTTGTTTTTGGTTCAACAAAACCAAAATGAAATATCAGAACACATTGTTACCAAATTTAATCGTTTAGCTTTCTGTTCCAGAAGATACGTCAGTGTATTTTATGACTCACTTTGGTACAAAAATAATGTTGGAATTTCTGTGGTTTAAGCCAAACCCTTCATAATTCTGTATTCCTTGGACTCTCAGTACAACAATGATAAAAAGTACTTGAAACATACTTAAATGTTTTCTTAACTGTAATGAAAGCACGAGGTAAAACCCTGGTAAAAAAAATGGCTCATCCTCTGTTTTACAGACTTACAATCAGAGCCAATCTAATAAAAGGAGCATTTACAAAGCCATTTCAGAAAATAAAATGCTTCAGTTCTACCAGCAAAGCCCACGTATGATTCCTGAAGACATAAATCCAGAGATGCATAAAATGTTTATCACTCCTGCAGCTGATGAACCAGACAGCTTAAGACCACTTTCCAAAGAGAGAAGATCCAGCTCGCTCCTGCATAAAACATCGTTCCCTTCCATTAGCACTGGTAAGATAATGATTTCTTTGTACCCCGTTGTGTTCATTCATAGCATGTGATGAAGTAGGTTGTCACTTACGGAAGCTCATGCCTGTCTGAGCTAGTTAGTCTCTAAGGTGCCACATTGCCCTGCCTTCTGTTTGACTTCAGGCTTACTACCTCTCTTTGTATCCCTTGTGTAAGGCAATGACTTGACTGTGTTGTGGTTCTAATGGATACAAAACTGATTGTTCTTGAGAGTTATGGACTTCCAATAAAAGTATCACTCTTAATCCTAGTGTAGCCTTTATTCTTAACTTTTTAGATTTGAGATTGTGATGAAACTACTGGCTTAAATATAAGCTTCTGTTCCTTAAACATCCTTGACTCATAGTTGGCCCCTTATGGTTATATGGTACTAGTTAGCCACTTGTTCTACCTTCTTTGACACAATTTCCCAGGTATTTGTTGCATCTTAGAAAAATATTATCACAACAAAATGTTCTTGCATCTTTATTAGGTTCTTTAACTTGAACAGGAATTGTTTTCTTGATTGATAAAGCAATATAAAAATTGGAGGAACAGCTGAATCTGTACATTTAAGATCTTGATATAGATGGAATGTTCCCTGCGTTTTGATCCTTTTCCTTCATTTGGAGGGGTGGTGGGACTTGGGTTTGACCAGCTAGGATTTTTTGCTGCTTTCTTACTCTTTTGGTTGGTAAATGTAGGGAACCTACAAAGCAGATCGGAATCACTGACAATCTCCCGACATAGTACAGAAGTTAAAGATGTTGCAGTCAGCTGACAGCTTGATTCTGTCATTGGTGATTGGGTTCTGCTAAAGGCCTTTGAAGTAAACACAGTACAGCCCCTTTCCTACCCTTCCTTTCTGCTCTGTACAAGCATTGGTAAATTCATCTCTGAAAGCTGCTTTGCACATTCCAGTGGCATACAATTTAAAGGAAAGCTTCAGTGAATTACAGTGCAATAAACAGGTTTTGCCAAATGAAGTTGATCAGCTGTGCTGGGATATGTCCTGGCACAGCTGACAAGCTTTTATGGGTGAAACAGATGTTGCCCATTGTCTTGTAGGGTCCAGGCCCAGCTGCTGCCAGGAGTAGCTGGGGCTTGATCCTTCAGAACAACAATCAGGATGCCTGTCTGCAAATGGGAACCCTGGGTTTCCCCATTTATAGACACGCGCCTAGGGAATCCCAAATGGGGGGGTGGGAATCTGCAGCATGCAGGCTGCAGATCATGGCTCTGCCCCAACTTCAGACCAGGCTGTCACTACTGCAAGGAGCCAGGGCAGAGCCATTATTCGCAGCCTGCATGCTCCAGGCTGGGATATGCAGGATGCAGATTGCAGCTCTGCCCCCAGCTCCTTGCAGCGGTGACAGCATGGTCCCGAGCTGGGGCAGAGCTGCGATCTGCTGTCTGTGTGCCCATGCCAAAAGCATGCAGGCTGCAGATCGCAGTTCTACCCTGGCTCTGACCAAGCTGCCTGTGCTGCAAGATCCCAGCGGCTCCAGAGCAGCCCCCTGCCCTGCTGTTGCGCCCTGCCAGCATGGCTGGGGCAGGTCTCTGTGGCAACCCCAGCCTTGTGCTATCACAGCACAGCTGGGTCTCCATGGAGAGTAGCCGCAGTCATGTGAGCAGGGGCAGCTGGGAAATGGAGTCCACAGCTGGCCAGCTGCAGCCTGTGGGCTGGATTTTGCCCACCCCTGAAATAGCAGCACAAATTCATGCCACTTACATCATGGCCACAAATGTTGGGCATTGTTGCATGACAGAGGGTATGGTCCTCCGTTTGCTTGGCTTTGTGCCACCATAACATTTTTTTACAATGGCACAAAGGCAACATCTTCTTACGGTGTTAGAGAACTATGAGCAGTTGATATAGACTGTCATGAAATGCCTAATAATCCCTTTCCTCTTTTTAAGGCTTACTGTCCACAGAAACTGAGCTTTAGGAATTCTCTAAATATTTTGATATTTTGCAGGCCTTCTTCCAACCCAATAGTGTTGGCATCATATAGTTTAGTTCCTGATTATTCTCTTCCCCCCACCCCCAATATGCATTAAAAGCATTGTTCAGATATCCAGTCTCAGTGATGCACCTTATAAATAGAAGCCAGGTGGGTTATCTTTACATAAGATATGTTCTCAAACAGCAGATGCAGGGACCAATTTATGGCGAGCAGGTCTGTGGTTATCTGCAGGCCCCACTCCCTTCACAAAAAGATGCACAGTGAACATGTAAAACTGTGTGAGCTATAGATACAGCTGCAGGATACCTGTGATGGGGTGGACTGATGTTGGAAGATTCAGGTTCCAGACTAGGATTAGTGTACAAGGCCTTGTGTAAGGCACAGAAGCCAAGTCTGGGGCGCAAAAAAGAGAACTAAGGACAATATAAATGTATAGAAAATGTGCAAGAAACTAACCCGAGCAAAGTGAGGAAAATAGAAGGAAACTCTTGGAGAGCCCTTTTTAAAACTTCTATAAAAACTATGTCTTAGCAAATAGACCAAAGCAAGAGGAGAAAAGAGAAGATGAAAAGGAAAATGGCAAATTGAACATCTCTCTTGCTGAGGGTTAGCACTTGAGAGACTGTAATTAACAGGCGCCTTTGTATGAAATGAGCTAGCTGTGTCCACAATTGAAGTACAGTGTGTTCACAGTGATCTGCCAGTCGCTGAAGATCAGTATAATTGACTACTTGTCCAACAAGCAGATGTCAGAGAAGTGTGAATTGCTTGCATTGAATGCTTGTTTTGCAGCCTCAACTAGAGTCCTGTCTATAGCTTTGTGAGGAAGCAAGTGGCTGTCTGATTTTCAGGAATTATAAAATAAATCTCAAAAGGTAGCCAGTTGCCCTTGCTTTAAATCATGTGCTTATGTCAGTGCTGTCCCCCTCAGAAATATTAACAGGTTTTCAGTAAAGATTAAGTTGGAGAGTTTGTTACTAATTACTGATTTCTTTGTTGAGTTTCTGTTGCTTTATGGAAAAACACAGAGTTAGAGAAAGCCTTTTCCATTCCAGTGCAGTGTTGGTCCTCAGGATGATAATGTCTAGGTCAGAGGTGTGCAGTTATTTCAGGCAAAGGGCCGCTTACTGAGTTTTGGCAAGCCATCGAGGGCTGCATGACAGGCAGCCAGCGGCAGATGAATATTAATTTCCTAATTTTTTTTATGGGCTCCGCGGGCTGGATAGAATGGTCTGGTGGGCCACATCCAGCCCACGGGCCACATTTTGCCCACCTCTGGTCTAGGCTCTCACCTGGGGTGCTACGAGAGCCCTTCCAGGTAATACAGGTGCTGTTGCTGGTGGAGGACAGGTAAAACTGCTCAGTGTGCAAGGCTGTAGCATACATATGCTCCTCCTGTCCTCCTGCATTAAGGAGAGCTGGTTTGGGCTGCAGCTCTTCCTGGTGTTGACCCTTGCTCCACGGTCCTCCTGGCCAAGTCTGAAACAGGCATGCAGGACAGTTCTACCTGCCCACGTACCTGCTTTTTAGAGATGCTGTCCAGAGTTGGACTGGGAAAGGCTGGAATGTGAGCTTGCTCTCCTGTGGCCTTGAAGAGCTTTGATGGAGGAGGAGCAGCATGCACATGGGCCACAGCCCTTCCTAGTCAGCTGTGCAGCAGGTCTGTGGGGCCGTTTTACATGGGGGCAGCATCACTCAGCTGATGAGCACTGAAGTAAGTGGAGCACAGTGGTTCTCAATTGGGGGTGCCTCCACATTCAGAAAAGTACCTCCACCCTGTGTTGTCTGGGGTTCTAACTCTGAAAAGGTTGAGAACCACTGGTCATGTCTGGTGTTAAGATCCAAATGCTTGATAGGCTTGCAATTTACAGACATAGAAGACTGCATTTGCACAGAAATAGGTGAATCACATTTGGACTAATCATCTTTTTCTCTTTCTTTTCATAGTCGGATATGATTACGGACAAATGTACTGTTATAGTGAGGAGGAGGTGCTGCTGCTCAGGAGCTTTTTTTTTCATCTGGAATCAAAATTGGGGCAGTTTTAGTTTGCTTGTATCACTACAGGATAATGCACATATAACAGTTATATTATAACAGCTGCTGTTTTCCTTCCCTTTGGAAATCTGGTATCTTATTTTTGAAACAGTTTCTGTTTTTAATCTCTCTTTAATTTGATTCTGTTGCTAATAGCTATAACCTCTGATAACAGGCAAAGCTTGTCTGCTTTGTTTGGTGTTCATTCTCTGCCCACTAAAGCAGTGTAATCTCTGTCCATCTCATCCCATGATAAAACCTAATCTCTAACTTCGTGGATGGAAGAAACAGTGGTGTTCTTCAGTTTAACAATGGAAATGTAGATTGTGTAGCAGGAAGAATTTTTTTCATCGTGTAGATGGTTAACTTGGATTCTGTCAATAACCAAAGTGCACATTCAGTCATATTAGTTTTTCCTCCTAAATAAATCCAGTTAGTCCTTTAATAGTATTTTCTCTTCTATGAATTTTCTTTATGTCCATATCTCTGTTACCTACCTAAAATCACAAGGTATATTATAAATGGTACAATAGGGTTTATTGTGTGATTGAAGCACCAGACTAGGACTTGGGGTCTGATTTCTGGTGCCTGTCTCTTCAGAGGCTTCCTTTGTGATGTTAAGTAGTTTGTTAATATACGTTTGTTCTCTCACTTGTAAAATGAAGGTCTTTTTTTTACCTCCATTATTTATGTCAATTATTTAATTAAGTCTGCTAACTTTAGGCAAAAAAGTGTTTTAAGAAATACCTTATCTTCAGAAGCTCAGTAAAACTTCCCTTAAAGCTGTTTAAAGTTTAAAAACTAAGTGGTGGCACATGTAGAAATGTTGCCTCCATGTGCAAAACTGAACAGGACACGTTTTTAAACGGTGCTGTTTCTCGATGCTGGAGACAAGGTTCTAAGTTAAAAGTCCAAAAGTAAAAATATTTGTTTTGAATGTCTAATCCTTGAGTTTAAAAAAACATTGTAGTGAGGAAGATTTTCTTTCTAGTTATTTGCCAAAAAATGGAGGAAATGGAAATTCATAGAGTTACTGAATTCAGGCAAATTCTGTGACCCAAAAACTTGTCTGATTTTATCATTAGGCACCATGTATGAGTTGCTGGAGACAGTGCTGCTGACAAGATTGTCCTCACTTTGAGAGAGTAATATCCCGGGAGAGGTCAGGTTTCAGGTCAGCCTGGAGTTGCTGTGATCAAGTACTTGCCCTTATTTCATATATTAAAGTGGGCTTTCAGAGGAAATTAAAAACAGCAATAGCTTTTCTAGATTTGTCATCTGCTTATGATACGGTTTTGGTATAAGGGCTGTTTGCTGCTGTTATCTGCTGCAATATAGTTATATTGCAGCATTGCTAGGCAATTCAATTTATTAAAACAGTGCGTCTTGAACATTTATTAAAAAAAAATAAAAATGGAAGTCTCTCTCTCTCTCGGGGGGGGGAAATCTAAAAAAGACGGAGAATTATTTTCAATGTAGGTGTTTAAAGCCTAATTTTGCTAAGACAGTAGCATCAGCTTTTCCCCTCTGCAGTCTGAAAGCTAAGATGACATTGGAAGGATGCCAGTGAAGTCTATTTATTTTATTAGATTTGTATGCCACCCTTCCCAAAAAAGGCTCCAGGTGGCTTACATACCCTACAGTATCCTGGTGTATCTTGTGACAGAAGACTCTTTTCCCATCAGGATATGAGGCAGATGAACAATTTGTATCAGAAGATAAGATGGCTGGCATTAGCTGGGATTTTGACCCTAAAGCTCTTCCAAAAATGGCATTGGCTTTGGTCTATTATTTTATGACCAAACGCTCTGCACTAGTATGGGGAAGATGGAATATACTTATTCATCCTACTGATACCCAGCTTCATGCTGTTCTGTATATTTGAAATCAACTCCCCTTCTACAATTGCCAGTATTCTCATGCTGGCTTTAATTGAGAAATGTCAAGTTAGAATAAAAAATGTTCTAAGTTTCCTATTCAGAAGATCTTTGAACATCTACATTTAGTTGGCGTCAAGCCACGCAGAAGAAATAAAATGCATCAGTGATTCTAGTGCCAGGTGTCCTGGTTTTTCTCTTCCATGGAAGAATAAAGGTGGTCATTAAACCAGTCAGGACATTACTTGAAAGATGTGCATGCCTGATGCACGAATATCAACTTAATGTCATATCAAATTTCAAACAGTTCATGATAAGTGACGACTCAATATTTTGTTTTTTGAGGAATAACTTCATACTGCATTTCTTAAAGCTTTTATTTCTGAAGCATTTCTGAATGCCTATCAAAACTTAGTCCTGAACTATAACTGTTATAGTAGTCTCAATATGAGAGGGAGACTCTTTTGAAAGGCCTCTTTACTTCTTTACGTAAGTTTGGTTCCAGTCTCAAGTACTCTGTTTTTGTGTGTTCATACATGAATTTCAGTAATCCTCTGCCATGTGGCTTTGTATTAAAATAATGATCTTACATAACGTATAGGTTTTAAGTTATTATTTAGCTATAAATGTCTCTGTGTTTATAAATACATGTATGTTTCCATGGGAAATGATCTTCTCATTGATCATTTCAGCGTACTTGATGATGCATAGTACTCACTGAATTTTATTCTGGTGGCATCTGTCTTTGTTACAAATGAATCCCTTAAAAATTGAAAATGTAGCCATCTTTTGCTATTTTTTAGATTAAAAACCATATTTTACAAATACATTTTGATAGCTACTTAGAATCATAGAAAAGTAGGTCTGGAAGGGACCTCAAGGTTATCTGATCTAACCCCCAAACTATACTTGTGCATGCTATTGTTTCATGTGCAGGACTTTGCATTTGTCTTTAATGAATTCATTTTAATTAATTTTAGATCACTCTTCCAATTTACTAAGGTCATTCTGAATCTGGGCCCCATTCTGTTGAATGCCTGCAGCTCGACCCAATTTGGTGTTATCTGCAGGTTTGCTATATGTGCACTCAATCAGTCTTTCAAACCATTAACGAAGATATGAAAAAAATTGTTGGACCCAGGGCTGGTCTATGGGGAACTCCACTTGAGTCCTCCTTTGACATTGAGCTAATGATGACTACTCTTTTGAGCATGATAATCTAACCACTTATGTATCCACTTTACAGTACTTTCATCTATATTATGTTTCCTTATCAATGAGACTATCATAAGATACTATGTCAAAAGCGTGGCTAAAATTGGGTTTTATCATGTTTACTGCCCTCCCCCTATCATCAGAGCAGGTCAAATACAATTTTATTGAGCATTCTTTGTATAGGTCCTTTGTATGAATTTCAGACTACTTTTTCCAATTTATCAAGGTCAGTATGAATACTAGTCGTGTCTTCTAGGGTCTTCCCTTTTACTTCAGAACAGATTACATTCATTCTTAATAGAGTTCTTAACTGAGCTCAGACTGAGCTTTATTTTGGCCCTCTTTCTTCTCTTTTTATACAGCAACGTATTTAAAAAGTTTGTAGCAAGTGAGAGTATTCCTTTTTCACAATAGTTCTCAAGTTATCCTGAATTTCATATAGGATAAGCAGCGCTGGAATGTAGCAGTGTTAATTTTAAATACATTTCTGGTATTGGAGCAATTCATTTATTCACTCCCCAAATCCCCTTTGAGTTTGTGTCACCTTTGCAAGTTCATTTCCTAGCGGTGTATCATGTCTCTAGACCTTGGACTGACTTAGGAAGTAGTAAGGTTAAGTCTGACTCTTTTCAAAACAGAATATGTATGCGACAGGAATCCAGTGGATGGATATTAAGATTGGGAGAAATAGATGGGGGGGATCTTGGGACCAGTGAGTCTTAAAGTGGATCTTGAAGGAAGTGGTAATGTACATCTTTATTCAGAGAGACATTTGCTTGGTCGGTAGCTTCTCTTAACTACCTTAAGGTGATTTCTGTTATGGATGTAGAATAGCGAGGCTTATAAATAGCAAGGGAGAGACCATCAGAAAGTGCTGTAGATCTAGTTATTAGGGCTTAGCGAAGCTTTGGTCCTTGATTTGATTTGGTGGAGATTCGGTGGACAAATCTCCGAATCCGAATTGAATCAGGAGACCCTGTAGTCTCCTAATCGAATTGGAGTGCTCCGAATTGATTTGGAAATATTTGGCATTTCAGACATAGAAAAAGCATTTAAAGCTGTGTCTACATACCTCAGGGTACCAGGTGGCTTGTCAACACTGTGATGCTGGGGTGGATGGAGCATCCCACGTGAGCATGGGGGGCTCCCCAGCATGCTCAGCAGCAGACCCAGAAGTAGACCAGAAGCACTTCTGGTCCACTGCCTGGGAGCATGCTGGGAGCCCCTCTTCACCCTCCCGGCTCAGCAACTGGTGCTTCCTGAGTCTGGCAGGGCACCTGGGATCTCCCCATGGCTGATCGCCAAGCTGGGGGAGGCGCGGGTGGCCCTGCGCGCACTCCCCCAGTGGACCCAGAAGTGGACCAGAGCCACTTCCGGGTTTGTCACTGAGCACGCAGGGGGGTCTCCCCACGCTTCTGTGGGACCCTCCATCCACCCCACCATTGCAGCATTCACGAGCTGTGCCTGGTACCTCGAGGTATATAGAAAAAACATTTAAAACTGTGTCTGTGTCTGAATTGCTGATTCTTCAAATCAGCATCCAATCTTCAGATCTGGATTTGACTGAATTGAATCGGGGACAGCGATCTGAATCAATGAATCTAATCACTGTCCCCAATTTGGGCCGAATCTGAATTGAATATGGCCCGTTTCACACACCCCTACTAGACATTTTGCACTTTCTAAAGGTATCTCCTTGCTATTTTTATATAATTGCAGTTTCTGAAGATCTCTGCTTACTTTTTGTTAGCTTTTCTAATCTGTCCCTCTGTCTCTGAATTATTATTTAATTTTCAATACTCTCCTTAGTCTCTCAGCAATATGTTCGAGTGTGAGGACATACCTTCCCTATGTGGTGATTGCTATCACTATGGGGTTCATAAGTGTTTTAATAAAAATTACATGCACGCCTCTTCACCACCTCCACCCAGCAATCAGCAGCTGCCCCAGAAAGAAACCTTGGCCAGTGAATCTGTAATCCTAACAGATGGTAGGCTCTCTTCACTTCTGCTTCTAACAACAGATTCTTCTGCAGATCCATTTTGTTTGCATCAGTGAACTTGTGTTGCCCTGATAGGTAACATAGGAGGACCTAATTATTACGTGTGTGTGTGTGTGTGTGTGTGTGTGTGTGTGTGTGTGTGTGTGTGTGTGTGTGTGTGTGTGTGTGTGTGTGTGTGTTTCCATCCTCCTTGTTAAATGTGTCTTATTTTTCCTAAAATTTTTCTTTTTAACTTGTTTGCAGGCACAAAGCAAGCAGACTTGCATGAAAACTGGTTTTTAACATCTGAAGAATATGAAGTATGGAACAGATTATACAGACTAAAGGAAAGTGATGGACTGAAAGAACCAGTCTTGCCTCGTGTTCACTTTGAGACTTTAGAAAATCTGGAAGAAGCGGCTGTAAGTTCAACCTTAATGCAATGACCTCTGTGGTAATGGAAGACTTAGTTGGAAAATACCAGTAGGAATTGTTGCTATTGATTTTTCTGGAAACTTTTTTCCCTTGGTATGAGAAATTGGAATCTGATCATTTTAGTATCAAAATAGGGGTGATATTGTAAAGAAAAAACTGAACCTCTTTGGTATAGCGGTAGAAGTTGACAAAAAGTTACTTCATACATTTCCCTGACTCTTTCTTTCCATATATTTAAGAACATTTCAAAGGAATTCTTTGTTAGAGAAAATAATATATGGCTTCATGGATTATACAACTAAAAACAGTCATTGTGAGCTAACCTAGCTAACAAGCCAAGGGACTTCTTTAGTTCAAAACAGAAATAATTCAGATATATTTTTCAGAAGAAGAAATTAATACAGCAGTGCTCAGCCTATCTAGCCGTCTTGTTTGGATGAGTGGTGCAGGAATGGTTCATGGGCTAGATCCTGCACAGAGTCAGTCTGGGGGTATGACCCCATCTGCTAGATCTTGCGCGCAGGACCATGGGAGCTGCAAAGGCTGGATAACCACAAGTTCAGAAACTTTGTGGTCAGGGAGCAGTGGTAACATCAATTGTTAAAGCTCTGGGAGCTATTAAAACAGCCAGTTTCCCTACCACCAAATTTCTGAGCCCGTGGGAAACGCTATGGACTGGATGACATTGCTGTATAGGCCTGATCTGGTTTGCCAGCCATAAACTGAACATGTGTACTAATATCATCCTTAAAACTTCTAAATGTCTGATTAAATTTCTTAAATGATGGGTTCTAAGAAAGCATCAGATATTAGTGTAAGAATGTTCTGTTCCTTCAGTGATAGTGTAGATCATAATTTTCAAAATAGTTCAGTGTGTGAGGTATTTTTAATATCTTGGAGACTAGTTCTTAATTCTATAAATAAGTCAGTTTATAAGTTATGTTTTTGGTAGTCATCAAAATGTTAGAAAATCTAATCGTGTATTTATGATTTTTTGTAGCACTTTCAAGAGTTCCATATGCTAGTTTTCCTTTGAGCATATCACTAATGATAGTCTGTTTTATGAGTATTGTTAAAAACCATTTGTGTACAAAACTATAAAAGAAGTTAGTGAAAGACTCAGCCTCTCTCTTTTTGATGTAAAAGAGTAAATAACTTTGCATTTGACATGACTCTTCCTTGTGCAAGAGAAAACAGTAATATTTAAGGGCACTTTTACGCATGATCCAGGGGTGGGAGGCGCAGTGCTTTACTTAGAATGGTTTCGTGAGCCACTCTAAAGTGCTGCTGTGTCTCCTGCATCAGCATCCCTGTGCTTCAAAATGGTGGTGGGGGCACTTGAACTAAAGCTCGTTGAACGAGCTTTAGTTCAAGTGCCCCTACTGCTGTTTTTAAGCGCAGGGATGCTGATGATACATGAGATGCTGGAGCGCAGTAATTGCCTCACTCTTGTCTGCTCCAATGCACTGGAATCGTGTGTAAGTGCTCTAAGTGTTTCTTTAATATACTGGCAAAATAACACAAAGTGCATTGTGTTCAGAATAAAATCAAAGTTTTTCTCTTTAAACCAGACAAGCTTAATAGGTATGGTGAATTATGGCATTATTCAGGATATTTAACAAGTATCATTCCTATAGAAAAGTGAGATTCCAAATATTAGTGTTGCTAAACGATTCCTTGACTGACATCTTCATGCTGCTATTTATTTGACTTCAGGAATCTGGAGTGGAAGGAGCTCGTGAGCTTTCTTTGTCTGAGTGGAGACTCTGGCAGAATCGTCCTTTTCCTACACACCTGGTTGACCATTCAGATCGCTGCCACCATTTTATTAGTGTTATGGAAATGATAGAAGTGATGAGGCATGAAGAGGTAGGCACTTTGGGTATGTGTTTGCTTGTGTGTGAAACCATACATAATAATCTAGTGTTGTGCGCACAGGACTTAGAGTGTGAATTAAAAACAAGCCGGAATCTTATCAGGAAATAAGGTGCAACAGCGCATTTATTGTAACATAAAACATACAACATAAAAAGAATAAAGAACAGTAAGGTTATTTGCTTCACTCATTCCTATGCATACTCTATCCATCCATCCATCCATTCAAAAGAGACAAGCGTGCGCGCACACACACACACAGAAGTTAGACAGTCCTGCAAAGGTTAAGGTGTTACCAAGTTCCAAAGTTGCTCAAGGTCAGTCTGGTGGCCCGCCAGGCTGACCAAGAGAGTTGGAGTCAGGTCTTGTTGGACGTGCCCAAAACTCCTTCTTGCAGGTGGAAAAAGACCCAAAGCCTTGTCTTTGTGTTCATTCTTTATAGTAATAGCTGTCCATATGAGCCTATGGATTCCGCTGAGTTGGACACAATGGCCATCCTTCTTGTCCTGTTGGCAGGCTGGGATTAATAGGTCATGATTTTCTGGCTTTGTGGTCTGCAATCTTCAGGGGCCATTGCTTGCAATCTTCAGCCATCAGGATGGAGCATGATTTAGTGTTTGGTAATCCTTCATTGCTGACTCGATATGGCTATAGCTGTTAACCATTAAACCACAGAAAGCTATTTTTACCTGTTGCAAGAGGAATGTCTTTCTGTACATTGTCACATATATTATTCACTTTTGTTACCTCTTTCCACACAAGCCAGACATCCACACACGCCAGACATACCGCAAACCCTTACACAAGCTTTCTCCTTCTACTAAATTTAAGTTCTAAAGTCATGAGTCAAATATGTCTAAAATCATGAGACCAATATGTCAAATACATGTATGCTAAGCAATAAGAAGTTTAAAATAGATGGCTAATTCCAAGCACTAATAATGACCGATCAAATTATAAAAAGTAAATCATAACAAGATAAAGTTAATCTTAATGGTTAAATCTTTTCCTTATATAAAAAGAGAAATAACAAAATAAACAGTCAAAATGATGATCGCCAATAACAAGATAAGCAATTAAAGCAATTATAGTCACTGCAATACTACACTAGTGTGTTTGGAAAGTTGTACCCATAATAAGTTATGGTGCTTTAATATTATCTTGATCAGTTTTGAAGAAGAGAGATGTAAAACAACTTGCATATCCCCTATATGCATGTCTGTAGTGTTTTTAATAAGGAATAATGTAGCCAAGCATTCATAAAAAAAAAAAACAACATAAGCATAGCACGGGTATCATGCAATGGATTACATATTGTGTATACTCTTTTTTTTTTTTTAAACTTCCTTTATTTGAACTGTTATTTTGAAATGCTTCTGCTGCTATTACATTTCAATAAGCGTGTTCTCCTGTGAAACTTTGACAGATTGTTCTAGTTCTAAGTGTTTTTTTAATCCAGGTATCATTTTTCAGAGCAAATATACCCCCAGAAGAGACACTTATGTTACTGTATCTTCTTGCATACCACATGCTCCCAAATCAGACGTGCACCTTGTTTTAGGAAGGTATAATGAAAAAAAAAAGAACAAAAAAAGATTTTTCTAGAGTTGAGGCTGAATCCTGACAATCAGTGCTGAGGCAATGGCTCCAGTTTGAGGCAAAAGTTCAGCTAAAAGCTACTGCCGATTTGGCAGTGATTATGAAAGCATTGAAACTAAGTACAGTGCTGTAGATGTGTGTGCTCCACCGCTCCAGGCTGGGAGAGGAGGACAGGCCCTGGAAGCCATTGCAGGGTCCCTATGCTTCAATTCTGGTGCAGAAAATAGCTCCCTGTCTAAGACAGGCACCCTAGTTTTGGAGGGCTGATTTTGGGGAAAAGATGTGTGAGTGTATTATTGCAGGAACATAAAAATATCAAAAGTACTTGCATGTCTCATTTATTTGTTAAAGGCATACCTGATGGACTTACTTTTCACATGCTTGCCTAAGCCACAATTGACATATACCACAAAAAGTTCTGCTTCATCTTCAAAAAATAAAGCAGCTAAAGGTCCATCCCTAGCCTAGCAGCATGGCTAAGACACCCTTCGTCTGTAGCCACTGGTGCACAACAACTTGGGGTTATGGTTGATCACAGGATGAACATGAGCTGTCGGTACAACGCTGTAGTCAACAGAGCTAATAGCATATTGGGATGTGTTAGCCGATGTGTCCTGTGCAGGGCTAAAGACATGATACTTCCTCTCTGCTTGGCACTGGGGAGACCCCAGCTGGAGTACTGTGTCCCATTCTGGGTGCAACACTTCAAAAAAGATGTGGAGAAGGTTGGATGTAAGGAAGAACTTTTTTATGGTAAGGGTGACCAGAACCTGGAATAGACTTCCCAAGGAGGCAGTGCAATCCCCAACCTTGGAAGTCTTCAAGAGAAGACTGGACAGACACTTTGCTGGGATCATTTGATCTTGGCAGTATTGCTGCCTAAAGCAGGGAGGTTGGACTTGGTGATCTTTTGAGGTCCCTTCCAGCCTTTCATTTCTATGATTCTACAAGGGAGCAACGCGTCTAGCTAGCATTGTGTTCATCTGCCCTTGACTCTGCAGCCTGAATAACCACATACTTGTTACAGCTGGGAAAACTGGGCAGGGCCTTTGACCTGATGCTGGAATAAAGCTTGCACTTGCATCTTTACATGTGTAGCAAGATACGTTACTGTTTTGGCAGTGTGCCTCTGTACTTAATCAGACTTAGAATAAAATACAAATAGAGAGCCACATGCTCTGTTTGTTCCTAAAAGATAAGGAGTAAGTTGAGTATTCAAGGATGAAGGTAAGCTGAGAAGTTGATTTCCATAGGCTAACGTTTACTACTAGCATCTTATTTATAATCAAATGTCAAAGTGAGTGAGAATTTGTAAGAGGTGTGTCAATGCAAGATTTTCTTGGACATTATACTGTATTTTTTACAGTGTAGCACCAACATAAGCAATACTAATTTGCATTTTTCTAGGCCATCAGAATCTGTCGCTAAGCTGCCAGCTTCCTGAACAACAGTGTTGATCAATGGGGAAGAATAGGGACATTGTAGTTGTACTTCTTGTTAGGAAAATGTATTGATGGTGCGCTGACAATAGGCTTTTAGAGGTAGATTAATTTTCTCTACTTCAGCTTGGAACAAGAAAACTCTTGAGCCCTTCTAGAATGTGGGCTCTCAGGTTGGGGTCATGACTTTATTTCCAAATTGGAGAGGACTCTAGTGGTCATTTTAATATACAGAACTCTTCAAAACAGCTTTTGCCACACGTCTGGGGAAGTCACTGCCTTCAGGCTTCCTTACCAACTCTGATTGACTCTGTAAGCACAACAGATGGAGGGGGATTACAGAATGATACCGTAAGATCCCTTCCGTAAGTGTACTTCTAAGAAAGGAACAGTTGTTCATGATTACCTGTCTTGGAGGGATCATGCATGCTTAAAGATTCATACTCCTAAAATCCCCTTGTGAAGCCCTGTTTTGCCAGTATTACAGTGTAAAATCAGGGATATGTCAGGTATTTGCAAAAGTGGATCTTGCTCTGGCAAAGCTAACTTGGCTGTTGAGCACACCCTAAACAAAAGAAGGACTAACAGAAATAATGCTATAGATGAGCTGAACATAGATGGAGTAACCTTGGCTCTCACGGTTTTCTAGTTGTGGCATTCCCTATCTTGCAATAATTAATATTTTATTGTGAAATTAAATGCAAAAAAATAGCTGTGAACAAAAAAAAAATCTGGAGGCAATTAGCTTGATTACAGTAATATTTAAAATTTTATTTGAACCAGCAAATATACTTTGGCTTGCTGTTAATCTCCTAGCTAACATCCTGACATTGTATCAGGATACAATCATACAATCACATGCCTAAATGTTTGCAAGATCAAGGCCTTGAAATACAAGCAGAGGGCACTGCTAAATGTTCACATGGAGGATTTTATTATACAAGCTCAGAGTGAAACTTTCAGATAAGGACTTTACTATAGAAAAGATGAACGGTTTTAAAACCCGATTGAAGCACTAAACCACAGTGGGGGCTCCTCTGCTAAGATTCATGTTTTTTTGTACACTTTATGATTAGGTGCATCTGAGATGGTAGGAAAATAAGGGTTTCTACAATTGTTGATTTTAAAAACATTAAGGGATTTTATTGTAATAACCTGAGAATTCTCCTCAATTTAAATGTTTACATTCTAACAAGGTGAGCATAGATTCATAGACTGTAAGGCTAGAAGGGACCTCGGAAGATCTTCGGGTCTGGCCTTCTGCACCAAGCAGGAAAGACAACTGGGGCCAGGTGACCCAAGCGAGGTGGCTCTTCTCTGAACTCTCTTGAGCTTTACCACGTCCTTGTTGAAGTGCAGTGCCCAGAACTAGACGCAGTACTCCAGCTGCGGTCTCACCGATGCCAAGTAAAGTGGAAGAATCACTTCCCTAGTTTTGCTAGAGATGCATCGATTGATGCATGCCAGGGTAGTATTAACCCTGCTGGGTAAGTGTCGCACTCCCGGTTCATGTTCATACTGTGGTCTGTTATTACCCCCAGGTCCCGTTCATTTGTGGTGCCGGTCAGTTTGGCGTTGCTAACTCTCTAGGTGTGTAGGGGTTTTTGTCCATGGCTGGAGCACTTTACATTTCTCGACATTGAACTTCATTTGATTCTGATCCACCCAAATTGCCAGCCTGTCTAGGTCCGCCTGTATCTGCAGCCTATCTTCAAGCGTGACCACATTCCCCCATAACTTGGTGATGTCCATGAACTTGGCCAGTGTGCTCTTCACCCATGCATCCAAATCACTGATAAAGATGCTGAAAAGTACTGGACTAAGCAGTGACCTCATCAGGACACCACTGGCCATTTCTTGCCAGGACAATACAGATCCGTTCATTAGAACTCTCTGGGTCCTACCCTGCAACCACCAACGTACCCATCTAACTGTCTCATGGTTGTGAGCCCACAA